CCGGCTGATGATTGGAAATTTATGGTCAAAGTCGGGCACGGTGGCTCAAGCCTGTCATCCCAGCACTTTGGGAGGCCAAGGTGAGGGGATTGCCTGAGTCCACAGGTTCGAGAACAGCCTGGGCAACTTGGCGAGACCTTGTCTCTACAATAAATCAAAAGAATTAGCCAGAAGTGGTGGCGCACGCCTGTAGCTCTGGCTACTTGGAAAGCTGAGGCGGAAGGATCGCCGGAGCCCAGCAGGTCGACACTGGGGTGGCCGTGAGCATGCCACTGCACTTCAGCCTGGGTGACGGAGTGAGACTCCAACTCAAAAAAAAAAAAAAAAAAAGTGTGGTCATTCATTCCACAAATGCAGAGCAGACAAGTAAGCCCATGCTGTGTGTCAGATACTGCTTAGAGTGAACAATTGGACAAGACTGAGTCCTTGCCTTTAAGAAGTTTGCAGCTCATTAGAGGCAAGAAGAGAAATCGGAATGCAGCATGATGAACACAATGTTGGAACGGACACACACACTCATGTGCCGACAGGTATGCACGAAACTCATGCAACCATAGGGGTCAGAGGAGTTCCAAAGTAGGTGGTATCCGTGCACAGACCCGAAGAGTGAGTAGAAATCAGCCAGGTGAAGACGGGAGGATGTTTTCGTCAGAGGAACAGAATGTGGGAAGGTCCTGGGTGTGAGGATTCTCCCTCTGGTGAGGAACCTGCAGGATCTCAGGATGATCGTGGTCAGGATGGGGGGAAGGGAAGACACTGGGCTGGAGCTGAAACAGGGTAGACTGCCAAGGGTCTTGGAATTCGTGGGCAGAGTTGGACTCGGAAGTCATGGGGAGAGTTGGATGAGATCTTCAATCCACCTGTAGAAGTGTTTAAAACAGGGAAAGGCCTCAGCTGGAGTTGTTTTAGGACGAGGACGAGCACGATCTCCAGAGAGGATGGCTTTCAGGGAGTAGGACTAGGGGCAGACAGGTGAAGAGGGAAGCAAGAGAGAACAGCGAATTGACTTGGGTGCAGGTGGTAGTGATGTAGTGAGTGCAGTGGACAGATCAGAACGATGATAAAGAATGAGTGGACTTCGTGAGAGATCAACTATGGAGGGAAGAAGAAAACGTGATGACAGTCTTTGAATTCAGCCCATTGGGCAGACTACGCGGGTATGCGAGCCTTGACAAGGAGGAGACCCTATACTTTTGCTTCTGAGGCCAGGAGAGTACCTTCTAGAACTTTGGCAGAGCAACGCAAATGGCTTGATTTTTGAACGTGTTTCCCTCCTTTGTAGCTGCCAATCAATCCTCCCTGATTTGCAGCACCAAGACTCTACTGTAGAAAATCTGACCAAGGCATTATCGTGAAATAGAATCCGTAGACACAGAATATTAGAAAACATTGATATCCACACATTTTGAATTTATGTAATCCCTGATTTTAAAGACTCCGTGTTAAGAAAAATAGCACATATTTTATTTTCAAAGATATCTTCACTTATTCAATTTGCATTGCCAAACTAAGAAAAGTTTGAAAAGCCAACTTCGGTTACCTTGCAGTTTTGTCTCCAGACAGATGGTGGTATCAGATGTGAAGGCAAGTGGGTTTTGAGCAGTCGTGGTGAGGGCATCTCAAGAGCCATCTCAAAATCTAGAAAAGCAATTCATAGTTTTCATCTATTCTTGCCACTTTTGGAAAACTCTTTAATTTGCATTTATTCCTTGGTGTAAAAAGTGATTCTATTATTATTATTATTTTTACTCATTTTTGTTTTGTTTTCCATTAGAGATAATAGTCGTCTATCCCCAAGGGCACGTAATGCATCCTTTCTCTCCCAGGCTTCTAGCAAGTCTTTCTGTAATTCATCTCATCCTCTGAGCTTTCAGATTCCCAGGAAAGTCTCCGGCTCCTTCAATTAATTCTGGGAAGCTCCATAATGCATCCTTTCCTACTTCTCCTTCTCTCTTTTCCCCCCAGAAATCACTCTCTTCCTTTTACAATAGCTCAACACCCATCTCTGGTCTTTCCCCTGATTCAGACACAAGAAGTGGAAACGAAGGATGTACCCACCATCAGTTACTGGGAAAGAGAAAGCCAATAAATAGAATGAATAATTTGTTGAGGAGATGAGGTCACCAGTTGAGAACACAAAGAGGCTCTGGGGACCCAGTGCAGGGTTTGATTTCTTGACCCATGACCCAGTGGACCGTGGAAGTCCCTAATCAAGAAACTCCAAATGGCTTTGGTATCCTGGAGTCAAGGCCTGTTCCGTCTTACTGACTATTACTTACCATATTTTTTCTTAAAAGGAAATGTCAATTCAATGAAAGGATGTCTGTCTAAAGAGATGGCTCTTTTGCATTTCTCCACATCACCCTCATTTTGAATCATGTCTAAAATTTCTTGCATCCAGGTTGTACCTAAAAATACAGAAATAATTGCTTAGGTGTAGTCAACTGGACTTTTATCTTAAGTTATTGACTATTTTGAAAAATGACAGCAACACGAGAGCACTTTGCCATTAGATTAATGTTTCAGAGGCAGAAAGGAACATTCAGTTCATTACACCTTCCCTTAGATATGAAGTAATCCCAAAATTTCCTGGGGTAAGGTTTGGAGCACTTAATCCAATTTATATTATGAAAACATTTAACCGTACAGAAAACTCAGAAATATGCAGAGCACTCAAAAATTCAAATAAAAAAACCTGTTTTGCTTAATTGACTTTATTCTTTTCCTTTTATCTATCTATCTATCTATCTATCTATCTATCTATCTATCTATCTATCTATCATTTGGGTGTTGTGAATGTTCACTTTGATTAAATGTCAAAACAAAACAAAGTCAACACAAACCCTTGATTTATAAAGTCTCCCAAGTTTTTACCAAAACAAATTGGCCCAACAGTCAATAAAATTAATTATGTTAATTATACAAAGTGAAAGGAATGCTAACACCAAAATATCTTCAATGGTATTCTCCAGTTGTGAAGAAATAAATGGAATACTAATTAAAATGTAACTAAATACATTCAATGTTATTTCCTTTCTGATTGTGTTCTGTACACCACTACATTTCATCTTCAGAAATCCTTACAATTGTTAAGTAGGCTAAATAATGAACACTTTATGAAACTGAAACAGTATATCTTATATTAGCTCTTGCATGAATAACAGGGAAGGTAAAAAGGAGATTAACCACAGGAAGATTCTGAACTAGAAGCCATCAGATTTTAGTGGACAAATTCACTGTGAAGCAGAGAAAACCGATTTACTTAAGATTTTAAATTATTTCTTTTGTTCCAATGATGTCCTTTCCTACTTAAGGTAGGCATGTATTCACACACACAAACTTGACTTCTGATTAAATAAGTTTCCACATACATTGCATCTGTAAAGTTTTTAGTATGGTCCCCCTATGTTTTCTGAAGTATATATATATTTTAACACAAGTCGTTCTACATTCATTAAATTTCTAGAGGTTTTCTCCAATGCAAATTCTCGAATGTCAAAGTTTTCACTATAGTTAAAGGCTTTAGACAGTCATTACATTTTGTAGATTCAAAAGATCTGAAGTATAAAGTAAAGACAATGCTACCCTTTACATCTGTAAACCTTCTCTCCACATGCTTTCTATGGCTTATATTTTGATAAATGCTTTTCCCTAGGGATTACTGGTATAGGACATTTGCCAAGTATAAATTCTCTGATGTTGAGAAAAGTTGAAGTAACGGTGAAAGGCTTTGTCACATTCTTACAGTTGTAGGCTTTCTTTCTTGTATGGGTTCTCTGATGTTGAATGAGATGTGAGTGCTGATGAAAGGCTTTGTCACATTCACACTTGTAGGATTTCTCTCCAGTAAAGATTCACGAATGACTAGCAAGTCCTGAATGAAAGCAAAAGGCTTTGTTACATTATGTACGTTTGGAGGATTTCTCTTCAGTATGGATTCTCTGATGTCGAATAAAACTTCAATGAAAGGTTTTGCCATATTCTTCCCATTTGTAGGGTTTCTCTCCCATATGTAATCTCTGATGTCATGAAAGATGTTCATACCACTTAAAGGCTTTGCCACACTCTTCACATGTGTAGGGTTTCTCTCCAGTATGGATTCTCTGATGTTGAGTAAGATGTGAGTACCAAGGAAAGCCTTTGCCATGTTTTTCACATTTGAATGGTGTCTTTCCAGTATGGATTCTTTCATGTTCATTTGGATGTGATAATTTGCTAAACACGTTCTTGCATGTATCAGCTCTGTGTAAATTTCTTCCATTATTAATTCTCTGATGTCGAGTACATTTTGAGGGTTGGCTAAACATTTTGCCATATTCATCATATTTGTAAGCCATTCCTGGAAAATGGGTGCTCTAGTGGATAATAAACCGGTAGCAGAGATGAAAGACCTCCCACATTTGTTCCATATGTAATGGTTATGTACAAAGTAAATTTTGTTTGTCCTTTACCCTTACACTTTCTCAAATTTTCTTTAAGTGTAAATTCTTACAGCAAAATCTTCTGCATGTTACCAATGTCGCTTTAGTGAATAACTCTTCTGTGCTCTCCTCTGGCAAAAGGCCCTCAGTGTAATGAGAATTCACATGACTTTTTTTGTTTGCCTGCATGAAAAAGTCCTCAAAGGGAATTGTTTTGTCGATATGGAGGTGGTGAAACAAAAAAAACAGCAGAAGCACTGGAAGTTTGGCTGATGTGTTGTCTCTTCACATTCTAGGGCTCTGTCCTTTGCTGAAGACATGTGATCAGGTCCAGAGTAGAAATAACCAGGCCCAGAGAAACCAAGTTTCTGGACTTCTCTAACATCACATTCCTGTACAAAATCCGCTGACCAGGGTCCAAACATTCCCACTCCTTTCGGGAGAATTCTATGGCCACATCTCTGAATGTTAACAGTTCCTCCAATAGGAATCTTAGGTATCCATGCCTTCCCGTGTTCCACAGTCACAAGGGAACATTTTTAACACTGCAGGTCATAAGTTCATGGTGATAACTCTTTGTGTCGTTTAAGAAACCTGAGAACAGGCCATTTCTTCCTCTTTCCCCTCCTTCTGTGGGGTTCCTTTTGAGGTGAGATTATCTGGAAAAGTCACACCATTTCCCAGCTTCTAGGTGTCCTGACGTCCTTCCTACAGTTCTCCCAGGACCTGCAGGTCACAGGGCAACAGAGGCTGAAGCAAAGACACACTGGCTTCTTGGAGAGTAGGACAGAGCAGCGGAGATGACCGATGATAATTCTTAAGCAGAACAGACAACTGTCTTGCAGTATGCCCCGCATTCTGCCTTTGTCTGATTTTTAACAGTATGTGTAATTTGGTCCTGGAGTTCTTCTATTTTTCATATACTGGAAAACAGGTCTTGATTAGGTTCAGTCAAACATTTTTGGCAGGAAGATTTACCAGGTTATGCTTTGTATTCTATTTTGGCATCTCACCTGCCACTGTCTGGTTGCCTCATGGTCAGTGATTCTATTTTTGCTCATTTGGTTAAGGAGAGCCCACCAGACGTCCCATTGTCAAGGCCCACACTTCCACTTGCTATTAGAAATTAAACTGTAGGGTGACATTTTAGGTTTTACCTTGTTATTTTTTCTTTTTTCTTTTTTTGAGTTGGAGTCTCACTGGGTCACCCAGACTGGAGTGCAGCGGCCGCTCCCGGCCACCGCAGCCTCGACCTGCTGGGCTCCGGCGATCCTTCCACCTCAGCCTTCCAAGTAGCCGGAATTACAGGCATGCGCTACCACGCCCGGCTGATTTTTTGATTTATCGTAGAGATGAGGTCTCGCTGCCCAGGCGGGTCTCGAACCCGCGGGCTCATGCAATCCACTCACCTCAGCCTCCCAAAGGCGCGGGATGACAGGCTGAGCCACCGAGCCCGGCTTACCTTGTTACTTTAGGATTTATTGGTGATCTTGCCTGAATCAATTTTCATCGTGTGTTGCAAATGGTTACTTTTCTAATTTCATCATGTCTTCTATATTTATTAGGCAGAGCTTATGTAAAAAAGAACTTCCCTTCAGAAACGGGAGAAGAACTACACTTTAAATTATTTTCCTTAAGTACTTACTTCTAGACTTAAAAAAATGAATAATAGTATATGAAATAGTGGTAAAAACATTTTTTCCCTTCTTTTATATTCATCATTATGGACTCATGGGTTTTTCAAAATTCACTTCATTGTGGTAAAAATAGAATGAACCCATTTTAAATGCATAGTGGTGTGAATTTTGACAAATGTGTTTAACCACGTAACTGTTACAACTGTCAAGGTTAGAATCGTCTGTTTGTTCATAACCAATCATCCCCCTCTCTCCTTCTGGCTTTAGGCAACCACCGGCTTATTTGTTTTATTTTCATATTTTTCTGGGTCGGAGTTTCACCCTGTCGCCCAAGCTGGAATGTGGCGGGCTCAGGTGATCCTTCTACCTCAGTCCTCCAAACAGCTGGAGCTATAGGCACGTGCCACCACACCTGGCTAATTTTGGAATAAAGCTCCTATGAACATTTCCGTACAAGTTTTTGGGTGAACATAGAGCTTCATTTTTCTTGGATAAATTCTTAGGAGTGGACTTGCTGCATTGCGTGGTGAATGCGTTTAACTTGACAAGAAATGGTGGAACAGTGTTTCAGGGTGCTGTCTTATATTCTCGTGAACTGTGCCTGGGAATAACAGTTGCTCCATCTTCAGCAGCACTTAGTATTTCTGGTTTGCTAGCTATTCTACTTTGTGTGTGGTACCGTTTCAATAGTTACAATTTCCATTTTCCTAGTGAGTGATACTAAGCATCTTTTTCTCTGTTTGTGGGTCATTAGTGCACAGCTTTTTTCATGAGACTTTTTTCACACATTTTTTCCTACTGCAAAAAATTGAGGGGTTTTGTTTGAGTTATAAAAATTCTTTATACATTTCTGCCAGATAAATTCATTGTGAATATTTTCTCTTCATCTCTGTCATTTAAAAAATTTTAGTGTCCGTTATGTATTTGTTTGTTATAGAGATGTGTGTGGTACAAGTGAGGATTATCTACATAAGTAGGCTGCATGCGGTTGATGTTTTGGCTTCTCATTGGCCTTCACTCCTGGGAGTGGACCAAGTACTCTTCGTGTCATCACGTGCTCCCCACGCTCCTCCCTCCTCCCTCCTCTGGGGTGCCCATTGGCTACTGATCCCTCCCTTGTGCTAACGTGACTAATGTTTAGAGCCCACTTTTGAGTGAGCACATGTGGTCTTCAGCTCTTTGCTTCTGTGACACTTCACGGAGTGTGATGGTCTCCAATTCCACCCAAATGCTGGGAAGTTCGTTATTTTGTTCTTCTTTGTGGCTGCATATTATACCATCGTGTACCCGTACCACGTTTTCTTTATCCAGTCCACTTTCCATGGGTAGAGGGGTGGGTTCCATGTTTTT